TAAATGATCTTAGTCAAATATCATGCCAATTACTTTTGATATCCATATAAGCTGTACAACATTCCTTCACTTGATATATAAATTCAATGAAAAGTGAAGATTGATTCAAGACATTGTTGGTCTCCAGATAACTTTTTAATAAAAAAAAAAATGGCTTTTTAATTTAAAAAAAATATTTAAAACCGTGATTTTTTTTTACTTATTTTGATTTAGTTTAAGTAATTTGACAAACCACCCTCTTTATTTCATCATTTGATTCGCCTGTTGCTTTTTTAAATTTTCGATATATTTGTAAAACACTTAATTTTACCTTGAGCTTAGGAGAGAGTTAGAATCGTACTTGAGACTTTTTCCACAAACCTTGAAACACGCCTAAAAGAAATAAGCATTTTATCATAAGTTGTCAATAAAATATTTGAATCAAATCTGAAAAAGATGATATTGATAATACATTTTTGAAAAATATAACTTCTGCTGAATTGAGAAATGTCTTTTTTTAGAGCAGGGCATTGGCGTTGCTTTGGATACGCCCCTGTGCTTTAATTCATGTTCGACAAACTGTGTTTAACCAGTTAAATCAAGTTATAGATATTCTAAGTATGATATATTTTTTATACTAAAGTCATCTGTCAATCAACTTAAGTTTTTTAAAGTAATAATTGGCTAGAGTAGGTAGGATTAATAATACATTTGCATAAACATACATGTTGTTTGTTTGTTTTCTCCTAATCAACACTGAAAGTGGAGTGTCGGTAAATACAGATTGCATTTAATTATTACGGTTAAACAAATAGTCATGCATCGACCGTGTCAGTGTCTATGAAACTCCTCGGCCACCGATCCCTCGTAATCAGCTGATACGATATGGTCTGATGTTGTCTGAAGTTTGTAACATCTCAGGCTATACTGAGAGATTTCACTAGGTGCATAATTTTGAAATTTTGATTGATTTAATAAACATGGAAATATCATATGCATAACGCTGTAAGATTTTCTGAAGAGTACAAAGACAATTTTAATAAGCATGATTTATGAATTGTTTTTTTTTCTTCATAAAGTTTCTTATTTAATTGTGTCGTAAAATTGCACTTTCCTTTTTTTAATTCTTTCAAAATTTTGTAATTAAATGTGAAAAAAGGATATTGATTGTTCTTATTAATCCTGTAAACATATTGCATTGTTAAAACTGCAAAACTCTGGGGACATCAGAGATAGGATAAAGTTCTTAGTGGGAGTGAGCATCCCCTCCCAAACAGTAAAAAGGCTGTTAAAATCTGTTTTAAACAGATTAATAAATAATCAGAAGGAGCATGTACAATTCCCTCATAACTGAGTTAAAACATGTCTGACAAAAATATCCTATTATAAGTTATATGGAGATAAAGAACAGTATTCAAGCTCAAAAGTCCATCTGTAATGTTTAGGAATTTACTAGATTTGTATCACAATCTGTTTATAATTGATTTGACACGTAAGCAAAGTTAGCTCTCAAAACAAATGACATTATTCTGAAATTGAGTCACTAGTTTCCCAGCTCCAAAGACTATAAAATATAAAACGATTTTGGTACAAAGACACTTCCTAACTGATATATGTAGTCAGGCTGTATATATATTTGTGCTTATTAGATAAACTATATAAAATATATACCGGTGTTGTCTCTGATATATTACACCATCAAACAAAACTAATCAGTAACAGAGCAAAAACGAACCTCCAAAATCATCAGAGGTGAGATAAGGTACCATGGATGAGAGAACATCCACTGCTGACCAATCACACCCGCCGTGTGCTCTTTGTCATAATTTAGAAATTATGGGAAAATCCGTCGTCAATTCAGTGTATAAATATATAAATAATGAACTAAGAATTAGTATGAAAAATGTCTGTCAACATTTGACTCAATAATAAAATGTATTTGCTGACTAGGTCATTGTATCGACCGCAGAACTTACAAAATGATGACTTTAAACGAAATTGCTGATATTCTTGTTTCATCAATGTGTTTGTAAATAACTTACTTGTTTTAGATATTGTTCATACGTAGAGCATGCTCTTGCGTATCGAATCAACTGAGAGATATAACCCCATATCATATGGTGATAATATGAAGGTATATTGCTGCATAAGTAAGGGAAGTTGACGATTGAAAAGTTTAAGTCGCCATGGTTACTATTAAGCTTGGTTGTTAGATTACCATTAACGACTATTTAAAGTAAATTATCCAAATATGAAACAAATGTGTAAGACTCTGTGCAGTATATTTTATTTCTAGCTCACCATGCAGGATCTATACTATCGACATGACAACAGAATGGAGATAACAATTCTTAATTCACAAAAGGTCGTCGATATATATAAATGTCGAGTTGAAGGCTACAGCAAGTATTGTCTTTTTTATGTAAAGACCAAACAATAGAAGCACAATAAGTGCCTAGTCTCAAATTCCTAATGAAAACTTCGTGTTAGTATTAATTTTAGAGTGTTGGGTGTTGAATGAGACTTGTTTTAAAACAAGTCGTTTTTTGTAAATGACAAATTACAAGATCTGAAATTTTCCTAGTTCTTCTTTATAAAGAACGGTTTTCTTAATGGTGTTTTAAGATATATAGATAGGAATTAATGCCAAATATTTGCAAATGCGGTCGTAATATTGGGCAACAAATTCTGAAATGTTGAAAAAAATTTCAAATGAAACAAAAACATTTGTATTTAGAAAGTGTATAATTTTGTTATTTGAAAAAACAGTCATTTAATGGTTAACAATATTGAGACAAAGGGATTACTGCAGATTTCTCCACAATCCCAAATATAACATTTGACGTAATAAATAATAACTAAATTCAGTTATCATCACTCCATATTCCTCAATATATGGAACACATTAGTGCTTACATGTATGTATGTGTGCTATTATCACCTCACCTTTTCTCCAGTTTATCTTACATAAATATGTATTCTAGTAAATAAACGTTTATTAAACTGATTACCGTGTGCAGTACGTAGTATTTAATTCATACCCTTTTGACACAATTGTCTATAAGACAACAGAAGATAACTTATCTGATCTTTCACAGAACAAATATTTACAAAACTGCAATGTCCGCGCTGAGAAAAAACCCTTTCTTGGCAATATCATGCATACTTTTATATAAATGTTATATTGTTACGAAGTATAATATTTAAATAGCCTCAATGATACTTTTTTTATATATAGCATTTAATGCATTTGAAATCTATTCAAAAAGTTTCAAAAATAATTCAACTGTTGATGCATCCTGACCTCGATAACGATCTTAATCTATAGATGCCCGTCATCTTTCAATGTACAATTTTCCCTTGTCCCATTTGTTCAGTGGCCTGATGTGCGAATGGTTCAACAACCTTGCATAGTGTATCACCATTAACGATGATTAACATGTGTAATTAACATGCAAATTTGAAGGAATATTTGAAACAACATGAGGGGATGTACTTTTTATATTGTAGTGCTGTTGAATTACCTAAGAAATATACAGGTATTAAAAAAAACAATTGCATAAGCATGCATTGATCTTTTTATTCAACTGAAATTAAGTCAAGTTTGAAGCAGGCAATGGCAAAGAGAGCTCGTCTTAATAATCTTTATTTTTCATCTTCCATCTATTAATTTTTTTTCTAGAACCATTTAATCAAAGTTTTATAATAAATCTTTTGGTATAAAAAGTTCATCATATGGTATTCAATTTGTTTTACTAGAAATGTACACAATAATTTCATTTATCAATATACTTAAGAATAATAAATTTTTCTTATACTCAACAGTAAACTCCTAAATATGTATTTTTTCTTGTCAATATTTCTTTGTAATATTTTTACTTACTAGTACTTACAAGAACTACCCGATAATAGCAAACTTGTCTCATAGCTAACAATTGTAAAGAGGATTGAAATTTTACGATTGCAATAGTACACTATTTACTGAGAGAGTTAAATTGATTGATTGTAATGTAATATACAATTTTTCACTCATGTAGAGGTCATCATATATTGAAGGGCTTCAAATTTTGACCTTTACTCGACACTCGAGGAAATCGAGCAGTGAGGAAACTTTATCATGCCAGCGTCTGTCTTGTCACGGGACCTCGGTTTTTAAGGTCTCATCCCGCAACTTTCACTTAGTGCTGGCATGACGAATTACCTTCGACTCTATCGAGAAATATACAGGTATATAGAGAAACAATAATGGACGAGAACTAGACCGTACGAAGGAGACTGTATAAACCGATTAACCGTGTCGCAGTAAGTTCAGTAGATGCTGACACAGAAAAGATCCCTTACTGCTCAAGAAGCACTTTGCGCCAAGTACAGCTCTAAATTTGCAACTCTCTACCAGCAAGTGCTGGTATCTAAAGATGGGTTTAAATTTCTCGACGGGACATCAAACAACAGACTCACCAACTGAATACTTAACTACTGCGCTTAAGAAATATCATTGTCTCTTGAAGTACGCGTAAGTCTATAGTCAAGTATAAGGACGGTGAAATTACAATACAATGGCTGTATATTAGTTTAATTTCTGTAGTCATGCTGCTTGTAAAATTGAAATCTATTAAGATAACGTACAATATTAAGCTCAAAAGTCCACTCAAACAATAAAAATCAGGAACATAACGCAAAAAGTCATAAAAACATCAGAGGAGGGATCAAGTGCCATGGAGGAGTGAGCAGTCTTTGCCAACCGGTCACATTTGCCATGTGCTTTATATCATGATCAGGAAATAACGAAAAAATCCGTCGAAAATTTAATGTTTAAACAATGGCCTAATAATTAGTATGAAAACTATCGACCATAGAACGTACAAAATGAAAACTTCAACCGAAACTGTTGAAATTCTGTTTCTACTTGTTTAGCTTGCCTCATTTTAGAAATTATTCTACTGCAGAGCATGATCTTGCACAGCAAATCTACTGAGAAACACCATCTGTTTATACATGTGATAAGTGTAAATTGCTACATAAGTAAGGGAAGTTGGGGATTGAAAAGTTAAATTCATCACATTAATCATAAATCTTCGAGACTTTGTGGTATCTTTAATTTCAAGCTCACTGGTACTTGTACTTGTATATATTGTATTGACATATGATTACTATTGTTTATTGATAATACGCCGTGATATATATAAATATGAGCCGAAAGCAAAAGCAAGTTTCTTCTTCTTCTCATGTATAAAAATACTGCTTCATAACAATCCAAAAATATGTCTATAAATATCAACAGGGCACATTAACTGTCTTTAAATTTCAATCAGAAACAAGTATTTTTATATGAAAATCACAGAGTACTTGTGTGTGCAAATTTAAGTGCAATCAGAATTTTTTAAACGAAATAATGTTGCAACAAAATGACCAATGACAAGGTAAGTAAATACCCGTTACATTTTTATCGAAAAGGCAAAGTCAAAAAGCCTAGACTTTAAGTTATCCTAAATTGTTTGTCATTAAGGATAAATAACACAAACATTTTTTTTTTCGTATATCAGAAATATTTCTCATGGATTTACGTTAAAATTGGTAACCTGAATAATGTTCACCAAGTATAGTGGGGCATTTTTTAAGATATCTTTATAAGATTAAACATTGTACAAAATTTTGTATGGAATTATATAGAAAGCAAATCAAAATCTCATATCTCAGCACCAAGGAAAACCTACGAGTTCATTATATTTCAGGGATTTATTATTTATGTCATTTCAAATCAAAATCAGTCAAAAAAATATATATCTTGATAAAATATTTTTAACAATTTTATTTTTTGTATATGGAAAAATTTATTCAAAGAAATTTCATTACAAAATCAAAACTTAATCTGAATCTACATACAATTACCCGGTAGTTGATTTTTTGAAGAGTTGGTTCAGTTAAAATGTATATTTATAAATTCTTTTGAGTTTAAAAGTGTAACGCTCACCCAAGTAAATAGCTAATTGGTTTGTTAATAATATTTGTAAATATTTAGCAATTCAGACAGCACTAAATTACGCAAATTACGCTAAATATATGAAAATTAATTTTTTGCCAAATTTCGTACACACCAAATATGTTTCATTAACAATATCATTATCTAATTTCAGAAACTGCAACAAAACAACTTACGACTAAGATCGAAACTTGGGTTGATTGCATCGTTCTTTTCTTAAGAAACTATTATGTTTGAAATCCCTAACATACAAACATCTTAATAGTTTCTTTTTTAATTAAAATTAAAGCATTTTTCAAATCAATGTAATAAAGAAAGTTATGTGTAGAATTACATTTTTGGTCTTTGTTGTAAATGCAAGAAAATGGGCCATAGATTTCTTGGGATATTTAAAAAATGGCGAATTGTTTAATAGAAACACACTGTAAAAAAAATAACTATAAGTTCGAAGAAAACTAGTAATTCACTGTCCATACAATCATTAGTAGTTTTACCTAGGATTTCAGTAAACTCAACGTCCATTAAACAATATACAAAACAACTTACTGAAACATCAGAGGTGGGATCAGGTGCCATGGAAGTGAGCTTGCCGACCGGTCACACCCGCCGTTGATTGTCATTCAGGTTCATTGTATAAATAATGGACTAACAATTGGTATGAAAAAATAATGATAAATGTATTTTGACAAGGTCAATCGACCATAGAATTTACGAAATGATGACATTAAACGAGACTGTTGATATTCTTGTTTCATCAACTTGCTTGTCAATAATTTATAAGAAATTGTTCATACGTACGCTCTTGCGTATCGAATCAACTGAGATATATATACTCCGTATGCAGGTGATGAAGGTGTATTGCTGCATAAGTAAGGGAAGTTGACGATAGAAAACTTAAAGTCATCACGTTTATCATATAGTTTGGTTGTTAGATTACCATTAGTGTCTTTTTCAAGTAAAATATCCAAGTATGAAGCAGAAGTGTCGGACTCTGTGGTATACAGTTCACCAGGATATATGTATCGACGTAGGAATGGAAATTATCATTATTAATAGACAATAAGATATATGAAATGAGTTGAAGGCCACAGCAAGTGTTTTCTTCTTTTCACGCATAAGATTTTGTATAAATTCTGCTTCATATGAATATAAAAATAAGTCTGCTAAAAAGCGCAATTTGTACCCATGGGAATTCCAATAGATCCGAAAACCACATAGATATTGTCAATCAGAAACTCAAGCATCTTCTTGATGTCAACTTCAGAGTACTTATGTGTGCAATCAGAATCTGTTTTAACAAAATAATTTTTCAAATGACCAATGACGAGGTAAGTAAATTTACGAGTTCCATTTTTGTTGAAGAAACAGCTGTCAAAATCAGATATTGGTATATTTACTAGATAAGATTAGTAAATTTTAGAATTGATGAGTAACTTTCACTAGGTTTTCTCCACAACTCACTATCTTAACCTGTAAACTGAAAGTTTTAATAAGTTTGTTAAATTCACTAGGTTGGTGTCTTAATATTTATCATTGCGTTATTTGATTACGGTCATAAATCCCCAATGCTTTCTCCTTTTTTAAGTTTGTAGTTGGTGACTATGACGTGAAGTTGAAGTTACTAGAGTACAACAGAGATCCAGACAACTGCTGTGATGGGTTCTTTGGTTTTGGCTGCAGCGAGTGTGATGTTTTCTTTCAAATTTGTCTGCATTCTTCACAGGGGTAGGTTTATTAAATACTAGTAAATGCAAAAATAGTTATTATTGTGGAAAAATGATGAATATGTTTCAGGGTTTTTATTTTGATTCTTTGTTTTTATTACTAATAGATTCTGAATTGCATTTAATCAATGTTAGGTTTTTCTTTTTTTATCTTCAGACTTCAGACTCTAAATTGCAAAGAAAAACATATGGATCAGCGAGCTCATGACAAAAATCATTTTTTATTCTCCGATATCCCTGCATTAAAAGACCATGCTGATTACTCCTGGAAGAATCTCACTGGTCAGGTAAAAGCTCAATATTTATCAGTTCTCCTGTCCTAAAGTTCGTAAATTTATTTTACAAAAACTAATGCATTTTTGTCATTTTTTAGCTTAATTTCCAAATATCAATAAACGTCTATAAATATAACTCGAGATATTCCTACCCTAACATTGGAGTGACAGACTACACCTACAATGGAAATGTAACTGCAGCACAAAATATCACGACGAAACCTGGAAAGAAAAACGTACGGTAAGCAACAGAACTTAACATTATCAATCATACATGTGAAAATGGAATAATTTCATTTTGTCCTCTCCAGCTTTACTTGAACCCCGTCATGCATTCAAGACTATTTCAATTAGAACTTCTAGTATTTACACGGGTATTTTTAATCATGTTGAATACGAGTATATTAGAAAATGCAGCAGAATTTTGCATTTTACTTTCAGACCACCTAAATCAGGTGGCTTATTGCCTCTCTCAATTCATCTATTTCCGAGTTCCCAAAGTTCGTGTGAGGAAACATAATAATGAGCAATTAGAACTTCATATACATTTAAAATTTTATCTTCTCTGGATACATTATCAAATGTTTTCAATTTGAAAACTTATTGAATGTTTTAAAACTTTCACTGTACTCTTGAACACAAACATGCATAGTTTGTATACAGCTAAAACACTGACCTCTGGATCCACTAGAGCTCTAAATTAATAATCATTTATTTTTCTTAATTTCAGGATAACACTACAGTTTATAGTGTCGTGTTCGCCTCATTTTCTGGCTCCAAAATGTGATCAAAGGAACATTTTACCCGTGATAACCACGACTTCAGTAGAGACAACAAACGTACCTTCTAAAACTACTTTACTTGCAAAGACTACTTCATACATAACCACTATCCAGTCAACAACAATTACAAAACCAACAACGACTTCAGGACGGATTATGACGTCATCATTATCAACAAAATCCATACTATCAAATACAACCATTAAACGAACGCCAAAAACTTCACCAGTAAAAACAATAAAGCAAACAAACGCAGAAAGGTTAACTACAACAACAAAAGCATCAAGTACAACTTTATTTACAACAACTATACCATCAACATCAAACATAGTTCTATCAAGAACAATAACATTACCAAATTTTAATAAATCAACTACAAATAAAGGAACAGCAAGTACCGCAACACAAACACAATCGATATCTACCTTGTCAACAACCACCAGTCCACCAGCGACCAGTACACAAACTAAAACTACTACACAAAAAAGCAGCACATCACCACCAACTTCAAAAATTGAAACAAGCATATTTCCATCAAGAACAAGCACTATGGCAGCAATTTCTAAATCAGCAACAAACATGACAATCACTACCATAACACCATCAACAAGCACGAGACTACAAACCAGCACAAAAACAACAATAAAAGGAACATCTCCTGCACCAACAACAACCACAAGTTCATCAACAATATCAAAGCCATTGACGACTATACCACTAGGAAAAACAACAACACCTTCATCATCAACCACAATATTAATGTCAACAACAACAAAATCTATGTCCACAACCACTAAATTAACAGGAACATATAAACCTACATCATCAACCTCTAAATTAACAGGAAAAACAACAAACCCTACATCATCAGCCTCTAAAGTAACAGGAACAACAACAAAACCTATATCATCAACCATTAAATTAACAGGAACACATAAACCTACATCATCAACCTCTAAATTAACAGGAAAAACAACAAACCCTACATCATCAGCCTCTAAAGTAACAGGAACAACAACAAAACCTATATCATCAACCACTAAATTAACAGGAACACATAAACCTACGTCATCAACCTTTAAACTAACAGGAAAAACAACAAAAGCTACATCAACCATTAAATTAATGGGAACAACAAAACCTTCAACATTAGCCACTAAATTAACAGGAACAACAAAATCTACATCATCAACCTCTAAATTAACAGGAACAACAGCAAAACTGAAATCTACATCATCAACCTCTAAACAAACAGAAACA